TTTGAATTTATATCATGGGCATATTGCAACCGGCTGGGGGTTCACAGATAGAACGCGTAATCTGTTTCCAAAGCTTTACTTGCAAGCGCAGCGCACATATAGCAGACAACAGCTGCCTACACGATACATCGTAATCTTCATATCTGCATAATAATCTCCTCGTTCCAAAGCGGACTGGTCGTTTTATGCACTTGAGGATTCTTTGTTCATCCACACGAACCAATCCGTGCTAACCTGCTAACTGTACTTCCGGTGCAAGGTGCGCCTCTGTCTTGCGGAGGGCAAGCTCTCTCCTTTGTTCAGCACACGTTTCCTAGTCCTTGTGAGAGGCGAGAGCGTGCCCTTTTGTTCGCTTTACGTCTGAGGTGGCATGCAAGCGGCCGTGTCCGATTGCTTACGTTCGTTAATACCAGTCCCCGCTGATTGTTACACTCGACATCGCTACGCCATTGCTTATCCCAAGCAAGATATGCTGTTTCAAAGATGTAGTTCATCAATGAGTGCAGCACATGATGAACCCTGGTCGATCGTCACAGCGTAGGGTTGGTTTCTTGTTCATAAAAACATTTGCTCGACTCATCCTCCAAATCTTTTATCGGGGTTTCATGACCTAGAAAAATATGTCATTTTCGTTTGCTTCAGTTAGGTGGAATATCTTCGATTTTGTATACAGCCATTTCCGCTATCGCCGGTCCGAAGCCCGGTTGAGAAAGGAGGAGGGTTGAAGACCGTGACAAGTCTCCGTAAAATTTAGCCACTGCCACTCATGGTATTGACGCCATCGAAAATCATACCGGCTCGGACGTCGCCTGGGTTACCACGGACCGCGCAGGCTGTTGGGGGACTGAGGCAGACTGCGAAAAGTCGGCGATCAGAATCTGCTCATTGTCCTCTGCCAGCCGAGGGCGTAGCAGCACAACGACGGCTTACGACGACCGACGCAACGACGGCGAAGATACCAGTCAGCAAGGAGTCGCTACCCGTTCTGAACGGAGGAGGCAGACAGTGCGATGCCATTATGGGACATCCGAAAATCTTCAACCAGAACGACACCGGTAGAGGGAGCTTACATTCGGAAATTGGAAAATATCCTCAATCAGAGGAAAAGAACAAAATTTACTTGATCAGGTTATAAAGTACCAACTTGACACTGTTGGACTTCAACAAAACGCCCAGGCTCTGGACTTCTGAACCTCTGACAATGGAAGCTATTCTAATCGGGTGTCGGTATGACGACTCGCGCTCAGGCCGGTGGGGGTATTCTGGTAGAGCACCAACCTCGCTGATTAAATCATTGATTGGAAGGCTGTCAGTGGAGGAGTGGCAATCTCCGACTGAAGCTACAACAAGCGTTAACCCTGCTACAAGTCTATGCACCCAATTTGGAGGGAGAATATGATACCTTCCTTGCAGAAGTGCAGCGTGCTCCGTCCGAAGTGCCGAATATAGAGTTCTTCATACTCATGAGCGATCCTAATCCGCATGTCGGAGTAGCCGCTGAAAAGTGGAACGGCGTGATTGGGAAAAACAGCCCTAGCGACCTCAATAATAACGGCATGAAGTTG